GCAAACAGTTTCATTAAACATTCATTTATGAAGAGCTTCAAAGCTAAGGCTGGAGCACGCTTCTATATGAAACATAACTATTCATCATCTAAAAAATTTGGTCTGGATGCAATTAAAAAATAATCCCAAGGATCTCAACAGATTGATTCAATAGAATTTGATGAGGTCTTGCATCATTTAACAAAGAAGAACATGTAGCAGAGGAAGCGCTCGCAAGTCTCGCTTCTTTATTTTGGAAGATCTGAGGAAAAAAACGTATGCATAGGTTTAAAGTGGGGCCTTTGATTCATTTGCTTTGGCTTTTCAAGCTTATCAAGGTACCTCAGCTCCTAGAAGCTGAATATAGCCACTCAACCTGGGGTGGAAGTCAACCAACTTCCAACCTCTGGCCAAGGTGCAACCCTTGGAGCACAGAGGGTCAAATTCCACGTGCAGCAGCAACAGAGCTGGTGCATCTGGAGCAGCAGGCAGGGCTAAATCTACCCACACACACTCTTGAGTTTCTACACACATACCTGTCTTCAAATAATAGCAAATGTAATCAATCGCACAGCAACACTCATCCCCCTGCAAGGACAAAAAAAAAAATGTTTAATTTATGTTAAAAGCAACAACAACTTATTAAGTAAAATAACAAGAGCTTATTTAATAAAATGCTTCGGACTATTCAGAGCAGTTATGATTGCACATGCAAGCTGAATTCATGAAGCGTATGGGAAATCTGACCGCAGGTTATTTTCTTCTTGTGAAACTCTGTGAAGCATTTGAGAAGGCACTTTACTAACAGAACTGAGTAAGCTATACTTTCCTCTAAAAGGAAAGAGGATTTCTAATTTGCATGTTACAGGCTCAGCAGTTGGTGCAACATACTGTATTGCAACTGGTCCATGCATGCTGGTAACTAGTCCTAAAAATCACTGTAATTTCAAGAGCTCCTTTGTAGACCTATTTCCCTTAACAGACATATTGCTGAGCATGCCCGGGAATCCCCTGCTGTGGAGATTGGGAGTCTCGCCCAGCTAGTTCACTAGACGCCAACCACCCTGCACCATCAGGAGGGAAGAAGAGGTAGAATGATTTAAGAATCATTCAAGAGAGCAGGAGCTACCACCAACAGAGACTATGATTTAGACTGGGGCAAGTTAAGATGAATTGTCCACCTCAGCCAGCTTTAGTATTCTTCGGTATTGAAGTTACGAATTGCCTTTCTCATAGCAAGAGTTACTACCACCAGGTCATCTAGAACCAGCAGAGGTGAGAGCACAGGAGCACCAGGTTATTGCTGCTGTGCTCCCTCTGGAGCCAGCTCCAGCTTGGAAACTATCACTGACCTCCACAGGCAGCTTCGAACTGTGAAAATAGGTCCTTCCCACAACTAAAAAAACCACAGAGACACCCAAATAGCTTTTCAAGAGCCAGCTTTACTCTGGCAAGCACGAAGCCAATTCTATAGGCATAAGGGTGGGCATATGCCAAGTCTGCAGAGTGCCACAAGTTCCTCTGCATTCACTGTCTGCTGAATTAGATGGGAACAGATTTTTATTATTACTATTTTGTATTATCTATGGTATACAAATAGCTGCCTTCAGTAATATCAGTTTCCTTAACAGGAGTGCTAACACAACTGATGAGATGAAAAGTATCAAGAGCACCAAGAAAGGAAGGGAGCAAAAAAGGAGGAGGAAAAAAAAAAGGCAGTAACACACAGCACCAAAAACCTCTCACAAGAGTAACCGGTGAATAAGAAATCTAGTTTCCCAGTCAACAGTTGACATTTTGAAACCTGGTTAAGTGGATGGCAAACTCGCTCCTGTCTGCCCCTGCCTGCCCTTCCAAGCCAAGTGCCAACCATCCCTGGCTCCCACCTTCTGCTCTGGCTTTCCTCCACACTACGGGAACACCAGGACAAGCATGTCCATGCCGTACCTTGAACTGCAGTCACCAGCAGGTGTTTGATGCAAAGCCTCTTCCCTGCAGAAGAGCCTGGGTCTGCCTCTTCCTCCTCACAGAGCCCCTGAGCTTCCTGCAGCCGTTCCCCCCTCAGCTGCTGCTCGAGACGAGTGCCCCCAAAGACAGCACTCGAGGTTTTCCATTTCAGGGCCATGCAGGGCAGGGAACCATAACCGTCTTTGTGGCCCCCCTGGGCTTACTCCAGCGGACCGGGGAGGCCCATAGTGCTCCAGACACGGGCTCGGCAGCGCCAGGCAGAGCGGGGCAGACCGTGTCCCCCTGCGCTGAGCAGGCTGCTGGCGAGGCCGCGATGCCACCCGGGGTGATGTGATGCTGACCTTCCTGGACACAAGGGCACCGGGCTGGCTCACGGCTCATCCTGGTGCCACCCAGGTTGGCTGAGGTCTTATCAGGGTTGCCCCTACATTGACTTCCCCTTTCATAAGGGCTGCTCAACACTCACTTCCAGGCATTACTGGGATTGTCAGGCTTTCCTGCTCCCTCATGTAACTTTGTCCCAAACTGGAAGAACTTGGGAACACACCTGGTAGTTGAAGACTGACTCAGCAGCAGATGGGAAGAGGGGAAAAGCAAGCTTAGCAAGTTCCAAGAAATATCACAACAGCATTTCACTGTAAGAGCTTTGTAACAGAAGCTCTCCTAAGAGCTAAGAAGCTGGGAGTGGTGAATATAGAAGTTTTTTTTATAGCAAGTTATCTGAACAATTTTTTAAAAAGAACATGAAATATCCCAAGATAAATTATTCTCTTTGACAGTGCTGTGTAGCTACAGCACAAAAGGTAGAAGGATTCATATATCACCACAGCCTATAGAAAGATTATAGTCTTTTATTAGTTTTTTTTAAACAGATGATTTAATTTTCAATAATAAAGCTCAATAATTTGATTCCCTACCCATAAAAACTTGTTTTACACATTATGTACAAGTACCCAGAGACTACAGCCATACAGAATATCACAGCTATACCACACACCTTCACACAGAACGAGCCGGGGAGAGGTGTCACCGCGTTGACATACATTCAAAGATCAAGTTGTGGATATGCACAGTGCATTTGGCACAGCTCACTAGAGACTGCCCACGCAGGGACAGTAAAAATAATCCCAACTAAGTGATAAGGTGGATTAGTTCAACCACATTGATTCCAGGAGGGGCACGAATTCACAGTTCAATCGGCCATCAGAAGTGATTTGCCTAACTTGAATCAAATGCAGCTGAACTAATCATTTTAGCTTCATTAAGCATCCCTCTGTAGACACACCCTAGATCTTCAGATTTGTCTCCAATATAGAACAAATCATTGTAGTTGAGATAAGTTTGAGGACCAAGGGCAGCACAAGTAATAAGTTTCTTTGGCAGATTGGTTGTCTCACTCTGCACCCCAGACTGAGTCCGTTTCTTCACAAGGTGCAACACCCCCACACACACAAAAAAACTTAGCATTCAGCAAGTGAACTTTATGATGGCAATGACCAGACCCAGGAAACATTGCATATGATTATTCAGTATAAAACGAATAATAGAGACACATACAAGTAGTGATGAATGTCAGAAGCCAACCTGCGAAAGGAAAGCAAGGCAGCCCCCATGGACGGCTAACTGATGCCTTCTGACATCAAATAAAAGATGTTATCAACTTGAATAAGTGCCCCTTTATATTTTGTGGGATCAACCAGACCATAGTTCTCACTCAAGTTCTCTGCAATCTGATCTCAGGACGACAATAAAAGCTAGCAAGTTTATGCAATCTGTTCTATAACATTACATCAAGTTATAACAGTTAAAATATACTTTTTTTTTCTCCACAAAGAAGCAGACATTCATTTAAAATCTGGAATTTCCCTTTTAAAAGCATAAGAATTTTTTTTTTTTCTCTCAAGTGCCATGCCTGTTTCCTCACTATGAAGGAGATTCAGACTCATTCTGATGAGGAAGAAGTGAAACCTCCTGAATAAAGTGCCCAAGAGCACTACAGCCCCCAGGGCAGAAGGCTGAAATATTAGTGTTTGCCTCCAGGAATACTGCTCTAAAGATATTTGTCCAAACACAACAAAGACTTCCAATTTCAAATTATACCCAACATGAAGAGTTTAATTAGACTAGGATATTCTCCTATGAAGACTATTTAGCCAGCATATCCAATTACTTGTCATGTTGGTTCCGAGATACTGCAGTGCAACTCACTTCATCTCTCCTGTCCTTTGCAGACTTCAAACCAACCTTTGGATGCACAGTTCAAAAGCAACACTAACAAAAAGCTTGGGTAGACTTCTCTGTTGGGTACACAAACAATGCAAGTCAGTCACATTTGCTATGGAAGTGTATCTAGTTCATTTTCAGCTTTTTTTTTTTCCAGCAAGTAACATCAATGCCTTAAGCAGCATGTCACATCAGGTTAGAATTTTATGCAGAAGTAGGTATATAGCCCATACGCAGCACTGTTTATGCTTATTCTCTATAGAAAAATGATCTCACTGGTACCAGGAAGTTTCACTTAGAGTTATAGGAATGGCTTTTTTTAAGCCTCAAAAACAGGGCATTTCTGGACAATCAGGTTAATTCACTCACCACAGAGCTTCTAAACCTTTTTATTTGGTCTCTTTAATATTTCTGGAGCTTCATATCTACACTCCTGGCTTAGCCTTGATAGACAAGGAGCAGTTTCTAGTCTCATGGATACTAGAGAAGACACCGATCCATTAAATTCACATATTAGTCAACGCATCTGCAAATGAATTTGACTGTCAGCTCTGAAATGGCTGACGGTGAAGAATTACGTTCCTCAGTACCTATTTCGCATTAAAAGATCTTGCTTGGATTTCAGAAATGCCTTCAGGGCATGGAAACCCATTTACACTGCCCTGGACATCTCACAGGACTGAGTTCTTACTTGTTGTTTTGGTGACCAGGACAGGAAATTGGGGTAATTAAGCCTGAATCAGTTTGGCTTGCAACAGCTGTCCTTTTTCACAAACCAACCTATGAATTTCCCCCTCCCCATAAACAGATTCTCACACGCTCACACAGACTCTCTAGAAAGGTAAGACACTTTATTGAATTTGTTGATAAATTAAGAAAGGACTATGAACCAGACTTATGGGTCACAGGTGCTTGTAAACACAGACATCAACTCCTTTCCATGGAAAGCCTGACTTAGTGTGCTCAGCCAAAAGTCACTTTCCCCAGCGTTGCTCACAGGCTGCATAGTGATGGAGAGCAGAGAAAAAGTCTTCATAGCTGATGTTCACGTGGGAAGGCAGAGAACTGTGAAAGCAAGTTAGGAAGAAGTCAACATAAGCAGCTTTTACGAGCACTATGACTGCGATGACCAGCAAGGCTCAAAGCAAGCTGCCTCGGGAGCCTCCCAGACTTACTTTCAAAACAAGGGTTACTGCCAGGTAACTCCATGGTAAGCAAACTACCTGCCAGCATCTTTTGTCACCCTCTAAATCAACGCCTCATAATTAAAGGGCACTAAGTCAGACCTGGGAAGTTAAACACATCTGTAAACGCCCTTAAGACTTTGGTAGTGCAGCAGGTGGTTAGTTTAATTATTGACAAACGTTGAAAATAACAACCTTGCTGTTGCTGCTTCCAACCATGGTTGGGCAATAAGCCTAAACACTTGAGGCTTAACATTTTAAATTCCTTTAAACTAAACAGGACATCTTTGCTTAGAGAGTTCCTCCTAAGGCTATTTCTGTAAGGTAGACCACATATTTTAAAACATTCTTGCTTACTTAAATATTATTCCAATCTGTTTCACATTATTTACAGGAAACTCACATGATCTCCGTCAGTCTGATGTGCCATGGAAGGAATCCTAACGTGCTGTCCACAGGACCAAACTTCAAGACTAAATCAGGATCAGGAAATCCATTTGTACCTGTAAGAACAACAAATTAAGTCTGTTTTGCCAAATCCACTAGAATATTTTTGTTTTAATTCCAAGTCCTAAGGCATCTATTTTAAATTGAATGCACACTGCATGTGAAGTGAAGCTCCTGAGGACAAGTTAATCATTAGAAGAACAGAAAGACAGACTTGTCTTGTACCACCTAGACAAAGCCAGCTCTTGCTTAGTTGGCCCTATAGGAGCTAGCTTGGAAAGGCTTTGTAAGGAAGTCATTGGAAAATGCAGATTGTTTTGAACACAGACACTAAACCATAACACTGCTGCTGTAACTGACTTGCTCTTGTCTTGCCTTGGCAAACTGTATTTTTCTAGTGCAGAACCATGAACTCAACCCATACTTCCTGCTGCACTGCTAACTCAGCTATGTGCAGTTGCAGTCAAGCACAGGCAAAGGCCCATTAACACAACGACCTTCTTACATTCAAGAGGGCCAAACTGATAATCATCACATACTACTAAAAAAGTAATAAAAGCGTAATAAAACCCTTAGGTAGATTAATTGGCTCTTAAACATCCTTCGTGTTAGATGATCAAGAAAAGGCAGGAGAATTTTGCTAGTACTGAGAAGAGAACATGAGCAGCTCTGGGCAGGACTGGGTAACACTGAAGGACCTCACTGGGCACCCACTTTTACTATCCCTGAAATTCTCTCTCACTACTACTCATCTTGCCATATCCCAATCCACCAGAATGAATTTGGATGTCAAGTTCCAAAGACTAGAACAAACAGGTTGTCTTCAGAAGGTCTTGAGTTGACAAGGAATTATATTTTGTAGTTCTAATACTACAGTTTGATACACAAGGAAGTCTTCCTTGGGCAGATCTTTAGCAGCTTGGTGTCTTGCTCACCAAGGAAATCTCCTCCTGGCTTCAGCTTCTGAAGACCAGAACTTAAAATTGTTCATTCTAAGTTTGTTGCCTGTCTATCAGTCTTAAAGTTCGGCTCTTCTGTTAATTCTAGGAAGCTGATTATAGCAATGTGAAGGGCATCATAGCACCAAGGACAACAAAGTTATTCTCTTTCATGCACCCATCGAGCCCATCTGAACAGCACTCCATCAGTCACGGCCCTACTTGGCTATAATGATGCAATTAGTTACGATTATTGCATGATATTTCTGATTTATTTCCTGCTGCCCCTCCCATTATGCACTAACTCCACATGTTAACTGCACAAGTGCTTATATTGTATAATCCCTACCTCAAGAAGATGAGTTTAATACTGACTGCCTGCTCCAAATCTCACATGTCATTTCTACATTTTAATATGGGCCTTGTATAAGCTTAAGTTTATACAGGGGAACTTAACGTGGGGAAGAATAAAACAGGAAACTGAGGTCCCATCTAGTTTCCCTCCCTCCAGGGTTTTAACTGAAGTTGGAGAGTTCAGAAGTTCACGCCCTCCCTCCCCAAAAGGGTGACAATAGCTTTTTTTTTTTTTTTTGCCAGAGGTAAGCAAGCTTTATATTATTCCCAGATATATGCATTTCTACTGACTAGGATTAAACATTAGAGAGAAGAACACCTTATGCAGCAGAGTTCAGCGCTTATCTTAAAGTGAACAAACATGCTATAAAGGAGAAGCTGCTTATTTGCCCAAAAGCTAGCATTAGTATGAAAAAGCTTTGCAGGGAAGCAATAAGAATACTTAAAGTGGGGATTCCTGTGGAAGTGGACAGCTTTACTCATCAGCTGATTCAGAAGCTGAGTGCTCATCAGCTGGCCAGTTCAGCAGCAGGATCTTCAACACTGCAATGGTTTTTCAAACAGGAAAGGACCTTCAGACAGCCCAGTTAATTCTAATACTTCCTTCTGGTTCCTATCTGAAGATGGAAAATGAAAATGGACACTATGTAGTATTAAGGTCAGAACAGCTATTTAAAAAGCAATACTGTGCTTTCCATTCTACATTTGTCTACCTAGACACATCACCCCTGCAAAGCTACCTGCCACATGGAAACTCCCTTAGAGCTGCTGAAGTTACAGCGCTCAGGTTTAGCACACAGGACAGGATTTGGGAATGCTGAAAGGCTTTCCCAAGACAGGAATCTGGCAACATTCCCTCTAGGCCAGGTGTTCCGAGAGAGCTGGAAAGAGATAGCTTGATCCACAGGGAGCTTCCTTTATTCTGCATGTGTTTCACAGGGCACCCTGAACGGCCAATTTAATTGACAAGCCTGTTTACTGGGAATGCTGATAGCAAGTAAAGGTATTATAATGCAGCTAGTATCTACTTTTCTGAAAATTCAAGCTGGTTACCCAAGGCATGGCTTAGAAGGCAAGGTATTATTACATGGAGGAGAGCTACGCTGGTTGCAAGAATTAGAACATGAGCAGATTAAGAACCAAAAGTCACAGGGCAAGATAGAAGAATCACAGTATTTCACAACTGACTCCACTAAACCCCACCCTAAATACAAGTGAAAAAAGGTGTCCTAAATTCCTGTGAAAAACATTATGGAAGTCAACACTAAGAAATCCATCTAAGAGGATTCAAGTATTGCTTTTCAGTACTCCTAATTCACCTCAGCAACTTAATACAGATGCTCATGTTCAATACCTTGCCTTGCTCTGCCTTGCACAGCAGCTAAACCTGGCTACAACCCAAAAGAGCAGTTTCCCCAGTTACAGTTCAAATGTCACCTCCAATTGTCCTGAAACACTGAAACCAAGAGAACTAATAACCAGGACTAGAACTAGGTAGGTATAGACATTATCTTTAGTTACATGCCACACAGTTTCTACAGTCTATTCTAAAAGTACACATTTTTGACAGGTTAAAAGAGTCTAGCATGTTCTTTCCTGTATGCAGGTAGCATGCACTATTTGAAGAGTCACACAGATTTATTAATGCTATTCCAACTGGCTTCAATAGCTTCAGTGCATCCAAACACTTATAGACCAGGAAAGAAGATCAGGAGTAAGTGCCTAAGAAGCTAGAGTTAAGCAGGCATCACTGGTCAGAGTTCATAGATAGGCATGCACTGTCAGCCTTCCACAAACCAAATACTAATTTTAGGAAAGCAATTCTCCATTACCATGTCATACTCTGAAGGCAATTAAAGACTGATGTTTAAGTTAATTCATCAGCTAACAAGCACTACACCTATTTAGTAACTGCATGCTACTGACAAAAGCAGATTAAGCTCAATTCCCACCCTAACAACTGTTTTAGTAAGAAGGAACCATGCAGTATGCTGACAGCATGGGCAGAATTCAGTCTGAAGTTAAAGATCTGCTTGAAAGGCTGAAGCTCCCTCTGTAGTCAGAATCCAGAGAGCAAGTCATCTCACCAACCATCTAGGAGGAGGAAAAACACCCCCCCACACACACATTTCAAACCCCAATTAAAAAGGGCCACACTATAATATGCCTGCAGATAACCCAGTTTAAGTGTCTTAGCTGGAACCTGAACCCTGCCTGTGCTAATTGCAGAGGCAAGTAGCATGCATGGGTCACCTAGGGAAGGAGCGCACTTCACCCTGAGTGCCGCTGGGGAAGTGAAGGGTGTACTTTGAATTATTCCTCCTGAATGCCAGCTCAAGGCTGCCCTGCCTCTTCACTGCCACTGCACATGGCCATGCACCTCAGAGCAGAGTCAACAACCTGCATGAGTTAGCAATGGAGATCAGAGAGCACGGGTTAAGGTTACACATGAGCTTAGCAAGTACTCTGGCAGTCACATACAGGGGGACAGCCAGGCAGCAGTTAAGAGCTTTAACTGCTGCAACTAGATCTAGAAGAGGCTCAGCCCACACTCAAGTTTGCATGATGCTCTCTTGCAAGGAATTAGCCTAAGTTAGAACAGCTTGCTTTTGATTCCAGGAGTTCTCTTTCTTCAGAAAGCTACCACAGAGCATCCCACACAGGTTGAAAACTGCTTGAAATAAGACTTGCCACTTCAGCTTACGCTCCCTCTCAAGCTCTTTAGGTCAGAAGGCAAAGAGATCTGAAGTTTTAGCAGATTCTGGAAGCTATGATCATTACCTACCCTAGTAGACTACAAGTCAAAATAAATGTTCTAAACAAACACCAGGGCCCAGTGAGTTATGGTTTGATTCCTCCCCTTCCTCCCCTCAGACCATACCATACTTACTACTTAATAAGTTGTCTAACACATTCACATCCAGGTCTGTGTGTGTTCTTTGCTGCTGTGCCACCAACTGACAAAAGTTCTGAGCAGCTTTTATTATGTCTGCTTTCCCATCTTCTGGAGACAGCACCTTCAATGTAGATTGGCAATTTAAAACTGAAAGTACAAAACATAGTTTAAAAGCAACAGAAATATAGTTGTTCTGAATATGCACTTTAGATATTCAATGGATGTGATGGAAAGAAACTTATGACATACTTTGCATACTATACACTTTTCACAGGTATCTATCATCTACTGCTTACAAAGCTGAGCATCAGTCTTCTGAATTTGTTGCATTACTAATGTGCAAGTTCAAAGCAACTATTTTCAGGAATGTTGTGTAGTGGCTTAATCAGTGTCAGCCTCAGGATGCAAAGACCACTCCAGAGAAGCAGCACTGGCTCTCACAGTGTCAGGAAAGTAGTGACACGAAGGCATTTAGGTAGCGACTTGAGGGTAGCAGACAATGCGGAAAGACTTACCATTCAGGGAAGAACAAAGTTTAAGTTTTTATCCTATATAAAGCAAGTTATAGAAATAGCAGCTATTTTGGACACTACGTGACAGGATCTTTTAGTCAGTAACCAAACACAGTTACAGAATCTTTTCAGCAACGCTCTAAATTGATGCAAGAGTTGTAACACTGATCCCAGAAGCTGGGAAATAGCCAACAATACCACAACTCATCTACACTTTTGAAATCGTTTGATTGATTTGTCAGTATGTTCTGTGCTAAAAGGACTCTTACGATGGTACATAAACATGCAGGGCATGGCATTTTGCTTTCAGGAAAAACAAAATGAATAATTGCGAGGGGCAGGAGGGGATGATGTCAACTTTTCAGTTTACAGTTTCTAGTCAGTGGAGAATTGAGTTACTGATACACTGAAGGGGATCAGTGGTAGTAGGGCCAGATAAGGGAAGAGCCAACTGGGGAGTGACATCTGGTTGTACTACAGTTATAGCAAGCAAACAAAAAGGTACAAAGTAGCTTAATGCAAACGCAGAAAGGCTGCGAGTGATCCGACATCAGCACTTAATAAAGGAAAAGGTCACAGAACACAGGAAAGTACTTAAGTAAAAACAGTTACCAAATCATATATAGCTTATGCAGACTATTCCTGATCCCCCAGTTCATCTTACCTTGATCAACTTGGTCTTGATTTGCAAATTCCACTGTGTATTTGGAGCAATCTAGTCCCAAGAGTTCCTGTTGCTGTTTTAAAATTTCATCCATTAATCTTGAGTTGTTCCTCTTGAAAATACCTTAAAAAAAATGCATGTCAGCCAACTCCTATGAAGGACTGTAGGAAGGAGAGAATCATATGATCAGCACTAGTTTCAGACCAGAGCTCACAAGTATGGGGCAGATCTAGAGCAGATGCTACTGCATATGACTAATTTTAGTGACCTTGGAAAAAAAAAGGGCAGTGAGGGAACTTCAGATCTTGCCTGCTTCTCTTCCTCTTTCACTGAGTTAAACTATCCCATTAAGACCGCTATTTTCTTTTATATGAAGAATAACTTGAGATAGTACCACCTTATCAATCCAGATTTAGTCACATTAACAGCAGCTTTACTGTCTCATTCTGCTCTAGAATTTCCGAAATCACATGCACACGCACACACACAACCACTAAAGACCCCTCATAAGAGCTGCAGGATCACCAGCAAGTCACAATACTAGTTTAGTGCTGCAGGAGCTGCCCATTCTCATGGCACAGGGTCTGTGGCTCCAGTTTCCCAGCAGATTTCACGAGCTCTGTATCGCAATAGGCCTTTATACCTACAGATTTGTAGTAACATTTTCAGTGCAAGGTATTGCACAAACTTGTTTAAGCAACTACGTTTGGGATCTTGTTCTAAAATAAGTTCTAGCTCTTACTAAAGAGACCACAGCTATTTCTAATTAAAAGCCACAATAAATATAAGCATTACAGCTTAAGTATCTATAGGGTGTGAGTGTTCCTAAGTGTATTTCCTAGTTTACTTAGGTTCTCCAAGTGAATTTTTTTCTGTTATCAGTAAAAAAAATGTACCAATCATTGGTAGAATTAAAGCATTATCAATTTCTGTACCAAGCACTTAATATTGAACCCATGCCATAGTCAGCTTGCAAAACAAAAATAAACTTGTATATACATTTATGAACAAGCAGTTTCAACATAAGTAATGGGTCAAAGAGCATAAAAACTTCATGTAAAGACTGTAATATATATTAGAAGCTGCTCGCAACATTAAATTATGCGGTGCATTTAATATGCTGGTCTTTTAGCTCTAGTGAGCTAGCTTTTATATAGATGTTACACAGTAGTAAAGCATCTGCTTCTTTCCCCATCCTGGACATTTCTAGCAAAAAAGGAAAAAGCTTATACTGATTTCACATATTAATAGTAAGTCTCAGTGAGGCAGCAACCTTGAGAGGCAAAAACTTAGAAAAGACTTGTACTAAGTCTAATTTAAAGTTGAATTTATTGCTGTGGTTGCACTTTCTAGTCCTTCTTACTAGACTACATTCATGCACATTAGAAACTAAGAACACTACTTCATACAGCTCTGCTAGGATTCACATAGGAGTCACCATTCAAGGTTTGTCCTCAATGGAGCTTCAGTAACAGCGCAGCTACCAGGATTGCTAGACCAGGGCCATTTTAAAGTTCAATGAGACTTGTATAAGGCTGAATGTACCTCACACCTTTAAGGGTCACTTGCAGAAAGGAAACTGGCTTCCACATTTACAGAGTTGGTGTAATGAGGAAAGGATACCAGTGGGGGATACTGCCATATGCTCCTCTTCTCCATACTAAACTAGGGGCATCAATTTTGTTGAGAGAAGTTGTTACCTATTCCAGTCAAATATCAGTAAAACGGGCTTTTATATAGGATATATCCTATATAAAAGGATATATATACATATATCAGGATCCACCCTTCATCAACTTCAAAGCAGACGCTGAGAAGAACAAAGACTAGACTACACGTGGAAGGCACTTACTGACAGAAAAGGAACATTAAATAGCGCAGACTCAGTCCAGCTCTGAAAGAACAGTCCTTCACACACACAGTATGTATTGAAGACATACTGCGTATGTACATGGAGCTACCTGGAGCCAGCTGATATTTAACTTCTACATGTCTCAGGGTGCTCTTCAGGAGTCCAAACCTGGATCCTACTTTCACAGGATCACAGAATGGTTAAAGTTGGAAAGGACCTCTAGAGATCATCTAGTCCAACCGCTCACCCTTTACTCTTGGAATAAGGGAGAAACAGCAGTTGGAATTATCCCTAAATAAGAACCCCCACTGATCCACTAACCTTGACAAACACTCCTGCTTTTCCTGCAGAGAAGTACCTAAAGCACAGAGGGATGTAAACAAATTAGCTTAAGTCTCCACTGAAATGCTATTGAGATGTGTATATATTTTTATATACTTCCTCCAGTGTTTTGTTTCTCACTGGATGTACAAATCTAGCAAAAACAAGTTTAACTTTCTTGAAGTCTTATGGTGGCAAAGAGTTCTGCCACAGCGTGCCCAAAGCAGTAACATACACAGATCAAATTTACACTTAGCTTTAAAAATATTTTATATGGATGTGGCTCAGACCTAACACTTTCCTTCCTTACAATATCTCTACATTCAATTTGTCAGAGAAGTAAGCTTTTTAAGCATACTTTAAAAATACCCTTAAGCTAGCACAGTGGAAGATGTTGTTACTAATTTAAAAAAGATAATTACTGAAAAAGTGAACCTACTCCCGCACTAACAGGACCCTGGAGCATTCCCAAGCAAGGAAATGGTGTTTCTCTTAAGACTACGTTTCAATTTTTTTTCTGTTTTTCCATATGAATGGAAAGCAAGTCCATAATAGGATTTTAACATAAGAAAATTAACGTTCTGACAAGAGATCTAATAATTTGGCAATACAATGCTGTTTGTCAGGGGGATTCAGTGCTATTACCATTTCTAATGATAGAGAATGCTAATAAGAAAAGTTTCCTGTTTTTCACTCATCAGAAACATTGCTTCTTGTTTTGTTCTGCTTTTCAATCACAACTCTGGAATCATAGCAAACAGGGGTGAAGATAGTATATATGCCAGCAAGTTATTTCTTTTAATAAGTGGGCATATTTAAGTGCCCCCACCCTTGAAGAAAGCTTCAGTTAACCTATTAGAAGTAGCTGCGTGAACTGTTTCCAAGGATAACTTTTGGTTTTGCAACAAAAGCTGCAAAGCAGGTATAGTTCCTTTGCTCTTGGCCACATTAATGCTGAAGCAAACCAGAAGCATTTCTCCTTCCCATCTTTCTACATCAGTCCTCTACTACATAGGTCTTCTCCGTAACAGATTCCTTTAAGTATTAGAATACTTGCAAAAACACTATAACTATAAAGTGATTCTGTTGCAAACTAGTTTTATTTCTGTTTAATAAACAAGAAATGAGAGCCCCTGCCCAATGAACACTAAATACAAATGCAATAAAGTATTACAGTTTTAAACTGAATGCAAAGAAGAAACCACACGACGC